TCAGGGCCTTTGAATCCCCACATTTTGTCGATCAAACCAACACAACATCAACCCCTCTAGGTAGATGATTTATGACACACTAGGTACCCTGTATGGTGTTGCATTTTGTAAAGTGTTTGCAATGAAGGTTGGCTTACGAAGCTACTCGTTCATGGGAACTCGTATGTTGGCTGTGTATTTTGTTAGAAGGCAGGAAAATTGTTGTAGATAGGTAGGTGCACAAGTAATCTTACAATGATATAATTGATTCTTCAGATTGGCTGTATTGCCTTGAGATTGCATAGTGGAAGCGCCGCTTCGACTGATAGGACAGCCGGAGAGGGGAAATAGATAAGCCACCATGGCCACCTTACGGCCTGTACCGGATCCTCATCGCATCCTGCCTTCGGGAACGGAGAACGGTTGCGAAAGTTGTGGTGCGAGCGATCATGATGATCTGAGATCAAAATTACCGATTGAGTTCTGTTATCGTAAAGACGCTGCTTCAACGTTGATATCAAAACAATCCGGGAATCCCGGTTCGTTGCATCGAGTCTCGTAGAACATTCCCTTGTGATTGCTACATTTTTATGGGTTCCTTGATCGTTTCAGACAATTCCCCGCCGCACACTTGCAGTGTACATGAAGTATTACATATACAATACCCAGTAAGACTGCTCAGCTGAGACCCATCGCACACTATACTCGATGTAGGCGCCCTGTACCAGCATGGATATGTTCTCTGCTCGCTTCGAGAAGGTGTAATGGTGTGTGTGTGGATACTTTGTTCCGTTGGAAATGGGGATTCTGATCAAATAAGGTCTGTTGGTTTACATATGCCACATGGTTTTGAAGATATTGAACCAGCTTATCTCGTTGATCTCCAAGATAGGAAGGATATTTGGTTTGACATGTGCTGGGAATGGAACTAGGCCCGGAAGATGGAGACTATGAGATCTCCTGGGTCCCGGAATGTCTTGAGAGGGAAGAAAGCGATTGGAAAGAGTGAAATATGATGATTTAGATATGAGATTGGTGAAATACTTTGATTAATCAAATATTGAAAATGATGCCAATTTGGTATTTTTGCGAGTTTTCCGGGGCTTCTTTCGCTGTTACGCCATTATCACATTAAACACGCGCCATTGAAATCGTTGTTGAATTTGCTGAGAGTATACTCGTAAATTTGTGTGATTTCGTACGTGAAAGATATCGTGATCGATGAGGTCGGGCATAATAGTAATTTGCCTTTCTAACGGCGTATACTTTTCTTACCTTACTAATAACTTAGATGAAATGAATGATACTTTTCTTGTAAACTTTTTGAGACATTCTAGAGACGATGTAATGTCAGGACGTATGGTGGTGGAACATACAACCATCATCACATAAGCAGAGGTCGGAAAGCTGGTCAAGTAATTTGAATATTACCTTTTTTAGAAATCAGCACTGAGCATTCAGTAGTTGCTCGTTTGCACAATACTAAGATACCTGAAGACAGGGTATTCCTCATACAATCATACTTGAAGAGGTACATGTACTCAAGTATTCGTCCACATGACGAGGTTACATAGCAGTTGAAGCAGGTAAGCACTTAGAATGTGAGAATGCGACGCTGCCAACGAGCAAATTGGAACTAACTACGAAGATCAAAATGAGGTAATCATGGGGGGGAGGGGGGATTCTGGAAGTGTTCTATCTTGGCTAGCTGCAGGTATGCGGGTTTGAACAGGCCGGGGCTGCAGTTACTAGCCAGGTCAGGTAGTGGTGTTGTTGCTTTGTGTTTATTTTAAGTGTCATGATGAAATCGAAACGACCACGGGATATCCCTTCTTGAACCATTGAATGAAAGAACTTGTTTTGGTGATGATATTCGTGATGGGATTCGTGACGGTGCATTGGGGACAGCGGGTGATTTGTGAGCCGTGCTGTAGGTTGGCCCAGCGTGTAGATTTGATGAGATCTCTAGGTCAAGGTGGCGTAATGCCTCTTTTTCCATAATTTACCATGTACTGCGTAGAGCATTGTTGGACGGGCGGGACAAACACGGTGTCCAAATCCATATTCTATCTCCCGTATATACCCAAGATAGTAGTATAGTGATTACAATGAACTAGCACCTTCCAAATTTGGATCTTGAAACAATCGAAAATGGAAATATGGTGAGGTTTGAAATCATCGGTAATATCTTAATTGATCCTTTGAGCCTCTTTCCTTCTTGGAGAGTCGACAATAGCTAATTGTACAGAGCCGCGGTGAGTCGAGGCTAGACAGTACAATGCCGCATTTCCAGCGACGGGCAATTAATTCAAGAATGGGATTCCTCGATTCCGGATCTCGGGTTCGTGTTCTGTTGTTTCTATTTTGAGAAATTCTCCCACCTTCGAGTATTCACCGACACTGCCTCGAGAACCATGTTTCAAATTCCACATACTGTATGAATGCAATCATGGTGACATGTTCCAAGTGTGATGATAATGATTAGACCATGAGCTTTGCCCCATATTACCGTATCGCTTCAAGATTTCTAAATTGCAATACTGCAGCCATATGCAGGTGATACTCGTCGAAACTGATTAGGTCCAGACGAAGTAATAAGATGTTGATGATACCGATACCTGGTATAAACGAGACCGAGGTGAAATTCACATTGGGTAATCACCTCTCCGCACGATGATTGGTAGAAAGGAGGGCTAGTAAGCCTGTGAGCGATGTGAGATTTAAGATGGGCATGATTTGGTAGCTCTTACGATCGCACGACACGACCCACCGAAAGGTAGTGTGAACGTTGAGTATGATAATATAGATGTTGTATTATTCAGTGATAGTGGAACTCATGAAATCCACATATTACCAAGTATAGATCTTTTCCACAAGGCAACGAGATTTTGGATATTAGCCCCGCGAGTATGTCACATAAACTAATACTAATACATAATAGCGTTGTAGACTTGATCAACCCCTACTATCGTTAAGCGAACCTGTAACGCGGTGGACATGAAGTTCTTCGCGTGTTCAACAAATCAACAATCTATGCTACCTATGATGGAAATTTAATCAAGCCAAAATTACAAAAAAGATATTCTCAGCGAGGCTGCGCTGGGCTGCTGAAATCAGAATTAAAATTACATATACCATTTTTACAACACTTAAATTACGCAAAAACTACCAAACAGTGCTACGTCAACGAAGTACTGACTGTATCTTGCTCGTGTTCTTCATCAAAACATGACATGCCGTGTAGAAAACAGATATACGATAATGGTGATGCAAACAGACATAAGACACTGCCTAGGTATGAGATGATTTTGCCGCTTGAGAGCCTCGGCTACCTAGGTATTGAAATGAGAAGAGGGGACAAGCTTGAAATGAAAGAGATCGTTATTTTTGGCGCGCCTAACATGTTGGTATGAAGATGCCGCAGATTTCAATCAGGTATAGTCTACTTTCTTAATTGTTCTCCTGTCAAGATTGAAATTTAAAGTACATTTTATATGGAGACAGCAGTGACTAGTTAGACATGCCTGTGTTTATCAGACTGGTGCAGCAGCGGTGCCATGCTCATGATCCCTGGCTATTTCACTCAAAAAACGTGGGTCTGGCTGGAGAAAGTTGAGATGGTAGGGATAATTGAGATGGAGTAGGGATCAAGGGGTAAAGCAACTAAAGAACCAAAAAGTTGTTTCCATCCATCGGAACTTTGTAATTGTAAGGTTACCATCCAATTTTTATGCGGTTGATCTGCAACTTACCATTGTTGGTAGTTTTAGTCTGTACCCGTCATTTGGGCACGCACCATTATGGAACTTTCTTTTGGTCCCTTTTCTTGCCTGCCTACACTAAAATTATTGTTTTGCCTGGTCACAGTACAAGGCAAGCCTTTTCCAAATCTTCAAGCTTGCGGTTCATTACAAGATGTCATTGACGGCATATGAAATGATATCGGAGCATTGATATGTTGTGTAAGCGCGCGCAATATCTCTTTACGTTGGTCAAATTTCACTTCCTTCGTTAAAGCTACAATATACTATGTCTAATAAATACTACTCAATGAGGAATAATTGCTCTCAGCTTTCTGGTACTTTCGAGGCTAGCTTAGAAAACGTTATCGTGGTGCTGATCTGCTACTACTGAATAATAGCAAGCTGTCAGATCTATCACGAATCAGGCTAAAAGTTTTGTGTTACAAATTACCCGCAAGTTTGGGAATGTCTCTTCAGCATGCCATTCAGATGGTAACCTCAAAGTAACAAAAATCAAATTAGAATCTAGGCGGACATTTTACATTTACTTGGTTTTTTATTACCGAGAGTTGCTTCATCACAGATCCCACTTCAATGCACCAAGAAAAATCACTCAGACGACGCTGGATGGTTGTTCAATTAGAATTACCATTAATTAAATCTGGCTAGTTCACATATTATGGGTCCCTTGAATGGTCTCAATGGGGTCCGTGATGAGCGGCGTAGCCCATGATCGAGAGGGGAAAATCTCCTGTGCTCCTGGTTTAACTTTTTAATGGTGTGCCTCGTCCTTTCCTTAGAAAGCCCTACGGTCGCGCTAATTTTTTCAAACGTTGACGTGCCCAGATGAACCCAAAGTGCGGGTGTGTCGCTCTGGCGCCTGTTTTGTTTTCCCCCATCTCTTCACACAAGTAGCTCTCAGGTCGAGGGGCAACCATGTATGACAGGGTTCAGAATCCTTTGAACATGTCCCCAATCTGACCAATCACATGCTGACGGAAGCAGCGCTAGAGCGCCTTCCACTTACATGCTTAAGTACTTTAGAGCCTTACTCCCCTTGGACAACTTGAGGCGAAGACCTTGATTTAAGTGCCTCCTGGAATCCCTCGAATAGAACCAAAATAGGTACATCACAACGTCTATTCTTCCTCATCAAAGCCGAGTTTATAATCTCCCCAGATCCGAACGTAACGTCAGTCTATTTCGAGTGTCTCATCTCCTTAAAGCTATCTGTATGTGCCGCCATTACTAGTCACAGCCTTCTTATCCCCTGCACAGATGGATCCATCGTATGTGGAGCACAGAGACTCACGTCAGTTCAGGTCCCGAACAGACAGTCACCTGTCATCAACTACAACTCAATTTCAAGGTCTTCTTATTGAGACTGACCCCGCCACTTCTTCAAACCACCAAGTTGGTATATCTTCATCAGACTCAGCAACAGCAGCCTCAGCTACAACAGCTACCACACTCATTACTTCACCGATACCCACATTCCTTCAACAAAAATCTGAATCTTCAACTGCCTCTGGTCTATCGTCACCAGCGCCTCAGCAATACACAACATTTCCGATCCTCAATAAGAGTGAACTTGACACAGACTGGTCCTGTATCTCGAATTCAGAAGCTCAATCAGGCAACTCACTTGAACTACGCATTCATCCAGGGCAAACGTTTCCTGGTATTGAACATCTTGAATACAAACTTCCCGTTCATTCAAATTCATTTCCAGCAACCATGTCTACTCTTGGTATTCAGCACTATGACCCACGGTTCGATGCCGGTGCACGACCATCATACACTTGGCCTCGTATGTATTCAGAAATCTTCTCGAAAGTATTAGGACTAACTAGAGCAGAATTCGAGATGAACGAACAATTCATCCAACAACATGATTTGAGCCCACATATGAGCCCACATATGAGTCCTGGACAACTATCACCATATAACGAGCTTAAGCCAACACCAATGTACGCACGAGCCATTTCAGACAGTCCACCACGAGCAAGTCTCACGGCTGAACAGAGGGAACTGAAGCGTCAGCGCGACCATGCAAGGAGAGAAACGAAGACGAGACAAAGAAGGGAGAGATCTTTGAGCAACCCATACGCATCAAACAGAACAACACCAGACATGTTACCACGAACTCTCCCAGATCACTATTCGAACTCCAATTCGCTTGCTCCAACTCCACTCTTATCACAAGGTCCTTCTAATCATGGCCTCCCTAGTCCATCTTACCTCGCACCATATTCACCACAAGTATCTGTGACTGATACTACATCCTCAGATATGTATGGGCCAGTTTTCACAATGGGTCCAAATGATTATACACCAATCTCAGCGTATTCAGCACCATACTCAATGGGAGGCCCTGAAGGCACCCTTCCTTCGTACGCGTATGTATTCTCCACAAAAATGTATTTTCGATTCAAATCATCTAATCAGCAATTCCTAGTCCTAGACCACACTCCCTTTCATCAGCCTCCGACCAATCTAGCCTTGGCAGTATCTATGTACCACACACACACTCGCTTTCTCCTTTGACTCCCCTCTCCTCGATATCTCAACCCTCACCCCTCGAACCTCGTGACCACGTTCGTGTCGTGCAATCACGACCCAAGCCCCAGTGTTGGGACCACGGCTGCAATGGCCGTCAATTCAGTACCTTCTCCAACCTTTTACGTCACCAACGTGAAAAATCAGGTGTAGCAAGCAAATCTTCATGCCCCAATTGCGGCGCCGAGTTCACAAGAACTACTGCTAGAAATGGCCATATGGCACATGAGAAATGTAAGCAGAGAAGAAATTCTTAAGCTAGCATTGCTGTACTGGTTTATTTTCTTTTCGACACAGAGGCGCGTTTCATTTTCAGGGGCTGTGCAACAGTAGGCGTCGGTTTGGGGGCTGCTCTTCTTCATAATTTACTTGAATTGGAGATTATATGCGATCAGACGAGATAAGACGAGACGAATAGGCTATGAGAAAGAATGAATGAATTGTAAGAATATCGGGTACCGGGTCATCTCATATTTTCATCGTCACACTCATCACCATCATCATATTCAGGTCTCTGGAATAAGGAAGGAGTTAAAATTAGAGCTGCCACTCGTTGCATCTGTTTATTGGAGTTTTGGTTAGGGTTATTATTTTGGCTGGAGAAAGTTATCTTTCGCTGTTTATGTATATGGTCATCTACTTCATTTCTCTACACTCTTTCAAGCACTTTTATTTATCAGGCTATAGCGAGTCTTATTTTTTTGGGAGCGATAAAAATCATCTTTGTTTGTTTGCTTGTTTGTTTTTTGCCTTCTATTTTTACTTTGTACTGGCTTTTCTGGTCTGGTCTTGTTGTCATCTGCAACCTGCAATGTTATACCCCCAACTTTTCCTTAAAAGCTATTAAAGAGGCATTGTCAATCGTTTTGTTTGGAATCGATCATGGGATCATTATACCAGGTATACATTGGGTATTTAGATTAAATGTATTATGGATTTGGAAATATGAAGAAGAATTAAGATATTAAATTATTAAGACCGAATGGGCAATGTTTTTGGTGTATTTGTATGTACTAATAAAGCTGTAGTTTGGAAATGTAGAATACGAATTGAATTTTTACGCTTATTTAGTCTACTTTATTTGATGTCTCTCCCGGGCTGAATGTTCGACTTACAAATGGTGAAGGCATTGACTGATTGATTAAATGATTATTGCCGGACTTTCAACGAATCGACGAGCTAGCTTACGAGCTCACGAATCAAGGAGTCGATTGGAGAGGAGGGTAAGAAATAAGTGTCGAGATAATGAATGCTGAAGATGACTCTTGCAGTCGAGCGGGAATGTAAGAAGGCGTCATGTTAACAGTGACGAGTCAGGTTCGTGAGTACTACTCGGGGTCCAAAAAATGCGGTAAACAGGTTGTGGAAAGGGGAGTTGGTTCTCAGTTCAGCCTGTGGCGACGAGGCGTTTTCTTTGGCAATGCTATAGCCATTACATTGCAAGCTGGATGATTAGTCGGTGTATACTTTGTGATCATTAAATTCTTACTCTACAGTTCGTGGGGGGGGGGGGAGACACGACTGCATTCATTGGTTTCGGTTGGGGTTTGGGGGGAGGTAAGAATGAGTAAAGATGCCCCCCTGATTTGATGTGCGACACACCATACACCATAGCATCACTCCTCGAACCAATCTGCAGCGTAGTTGTTTGTGATACCTACACAGCTTGAATAATCAGATTTCACTCACATCAGATTGGGCTTGGAAATTTCAGATAGATGAGAACTGCACTCATTAATTGTCCTTTGCATCTGTTATCGTTGTGGTTTCAAGAACATTTGTTTCCATCGTGTACATAATTTCCCCCAATCATGACACAGCCCCTTCACAAATAGCAACAAACAGCTGGGCGAGTTCTGCTAGTAACAACGCCTCTTCATCTCCTAGGCATTTCAGATCAGGTGGATGCAGCATCAGGTACAGCACGTTTTACATACTCATGAAACGCAGAATGGCAAGCTGGACGGCGTAGAGAACGACGTTCAATTTTGCTTACATGTGCCACACCAAATTAAATGCTACATATGCATACATAATGTGCGCACCCATGTGTGTGCATATTAAACAGGCATGGCAGGTGGAATTCCTGCAGCGTTTCCTCTAGCAGTCCTGGCTTGATGTGGCCACGGTGAGATTTTGGGAGGCCAGGGGAGTTGAGAATATCCCGGTTTGCCATGCGTACAAGGTGTCTTCCTTGCGAGGGAAATCATACATAGAAGACCAAAAGGGAAGGGTTAAGTACAATTGCTGATCTGGGATTGGGGGCCGGTAAGCCTTGGTTGGCTCGTTTGTCTTACTATGTTGCATTGCAGATTGAGGTTGCAGCACAACGTGGAAAAAGTTATGCAGATGCAAAGAGTGAAGGGAGAGGGAGAAGGGATTAAAAATCTCATGTTCTTTCTGCACTGTAGTGCATCCGAATCTGAACGGATATGCAAGTGCGGAGCGATGGATTGTATGCGATGTTTGTTATGTTTCTAGTTTGACCGATAAACGAGTAAGATGGTGTGCTTATGAGATTGAGAAAGACGGTGTTTCATGTTCTATTTTTCGGAATACGATGGCAGGTTGAAACTTACAACAGTGCAGGATATGCTGTGCGACAAGAGGAGAAAAGGACAAATTATTTTATTAGGTTGCCAGATTATTGTCATAATTCTCATTCGGGAATGTTTTGGGGGTAAAGAAGGCCACTTGGTCGCTTGACTCCATCTTCTAGGCTAAAGCAATTGATATCACTGGCTGGCCGAGTTGAATTTCCAGGTAAAAGCTGAATATTCATTGATGTTGAATTGTACCGGCCGAGTATGTAAGATCGGACGTGCTGTACTACAGCCATGTGTCCTCCATATTGTATGAAGTTGATCTTCATATTCAAATCCGGTTCTGCGGTGAGATACAATGAAATGAAATGGTACGTACGTATGTAAGCAAACTCAAGCAAACTTCATACCGTGTACGAGAATGCGTGTATGAGAATGCCCATCTTATGCCGAGACGATTCTCTTCGTATATCTGTTTAGATCTCATAATTTCGTTTCTCCATTTACACTTGGCTTCTTCTGCTTCTGGATTTCTGTAAATGGGATGGTGCAATATAATCAATCCTTCAGCCTCGAGTTGCATGGGTATGCCCCTCTTACCTTGATTAAATAGGAAACTGCTGATACAAAAATAACGTGTCAGTAATACATGAGATCATGTACCTATGAATACTCCGTTAATGTATTGAGTCCAAAACAAGTTGAGAAAGTTGACAAGGTGATAAGGTAACAGTTACCAGGCATATTGACAAGGTGACAAGGTCACGACGTGATCACTTCTAGAAATTCTATATTCTGTCCCGTATAGTATAGTAGATGGAGATTATGCCTTTGAAACCCGAACCAATAGATAGAAATGGCTAATTACGAGACCCATATTTGATTTGTCAGAGCTAACCCATAGAACCCAATTAAAATAACATCACTCTGAGGGAATTCACCCGGTCTTAGAAACGTATCGTTCATCGTGAGAATCCCTTTCGACTCACGACGACTAGGTGTGCTAAAGACCCCTGGATATTTTAACGTGCGTACTGAGGGGCAAATGAAATACCTATCGATAAAGGTGCAGATCTATTGTGCCGCAACTAGTGTATTAATGAATGCTGGATAATGTTGCAATGCATGTGCAACGTCTCAAACCTTGGAAGTCCTGATTCTTGAGACGATTGACTACATCCTGCATGGCATGACTGTGATGTTCCGATTTGGTCCATTTTTCTGCATGTCAATACTTGATTTGTATTTTGTACTCGGGCTCGCCGACATTCTTCACGTACATCTATCTTGATTGCGTAGCATCTGATGATTTCGTCGAATATGTTCGCCCCGGAGTATCAAACAGCATATTTCCCTAGGGGAAGTCGGAACATGCAGTCTACAGCTTTCTTCAGCGTCGGAACGAAAGCGAAAGTATTGGCGCATCATCGCGAATGTGATTGCTTCCAGTATTCGACTAGTCCGGAATATGCAGTGAAAGATGTATGTCTTGGAGTTCAAAATTCTAGCTAAAACTCTAGCTAAAAGCAGAAATTAAATTGAACAAATTCCATAACGCTCAGAATCGTTTCATTCAAGCACTTACCCAGTCCGAGCTAACAGCTCTCTGCAAGATTTCTAGGTATAAGACACAAGATATGTTGTTTTGTGGGACGATTATCAGAGCCAATTGATTTATAACTTGTAGAGACTTGACTTCTTACGACCCCCTTTTATTCTTTCTTATAGACCCTGCGCACTTGTCGTATCCTATTCTGGTTGATTTCGCTCTCCCACCTAGTATGGATGATCATCTTGTTTCGTCCTCGGCTGCTTCCATGATCTGTACGTCTGCTGTTCTTCCATGCAGAGTTCAAGAGCATTAGAGATACAGGTATATCGATACTGTTCTCTTCTAAGTTTTACTTTCTCAACGATACACACCATTGCAAGCAATCAGGGCTTTGAAGAGATTTCATCAAAGCAACGTTAGTAGCCACTTATAAACTTACAAAAACTGGCTCAAGGAGTCAATTTCAATGTTTCGGAGAGTTCACGCAAGAGTAGCAGCCTGAATGATACCAAGTCGTAGTACCATAGCTCTCAGGTTTCAAACTTATATTGGGTATACGTCCAGAATTTGCAGTACTTCAAATCTGATGACCCATCTTTTTTGTCAATTCTTCTGAGTTGAACCATACAAATGGACTGTGAGCGAAAGTGAGTCATTTGACTTCATACCAATAAAGCATAATTTTGATATGGCACTCTTCTACGAGGCGTCTAAAAACACTCAAAGCGTGCTATGAGATGCTCTAGTGATGGCCTGACTTGATTGCCTTTGGTATGCTCCTCTAACTTCACAATGTCATCGACAAGTCACACCCCTCTTCTCAGCCTCCACATTCGCAACTCATTCAATTAGCAGCATTAACAGTCAATTGTACTCGAGGACTGTGAGTAACATTTCCTCGCCCATCACACACTGACTAAGAATTTTCTTATCTTTTCTGCTCTTTTCGCTTTCTAAACTCGTGTTCTGATATTTCAGCCTAGCATATTTAGGCCTCCTGGAATGAGAGGAATATCTTAAATTGTTCTGAAGAGGAATAACAAGTATTGCTCTCTGAAGAGAAATAGAAAGGAACAGTGAAAGCTGTGTTCAGAAGAAGGAAAAACTAAGAGGATGTATCATGGAAGGTGCAAAAGGGCAATCTTCAAAATTCCGAAAAGCACTTGCTCGACTACCTTCAGTAGTGAGAGATGCTGTTGTTTCTAATTCTATAAATACCGAAACTACAAAGACTGAAATTCAATACGGAGAATCTACATCGATTCAGTTGATGAGCACTGATCAGAATGACGGCAATATCGCAGCATCGAATACGCCAAGTATTTGTTGTTAACCCTCCCTTCTTAGGCCAACTCGCTCCATTATTCTTGCCCGCTGAGTTATCAAGATAAGTTCTCGAATGATTATCAAGATTCCAACAGTGATTCGTCTACTCCCCTCAATTGTCAGGAGCAGGCGCGCAAGAGGAGAATCAGGGTATACAAAATAGCAGAGAGATAAACCGAAATAATGTCTGCAATCTAAGAAGGGACATCGATGTGTATTCTAAAGTGAGGGAATCTGAAGGAAACAGATATACAATATCCTATCTGAGTACTGTTGATCTAGTCAAAACTCAAATTTGACAGCTTGCTGCCCGTTAATCGAATCGAAGCAAGGAGACTTTGCGCATTACCACGGACCGACAGGAAAAAGACCTTTTTAGAAGCTCGATATTCTCAATCTATAATGTCCGTGTATTCGCGGATATTTTCTTTGTGCGAACCACAATATCGGAAGGTCGATTGGCATAGAGCGGAAGCAGAGTTTGAAAAGCTTCAAATTCGCTTTTTGGGTACCAGGCACAGATTGCGAGAGGAACAAGCAGCCGAGGGATTCGGAATACCTATATCGGACAAAACGATGAAGGGGCGAGGTAATGTGCCTGATTGTTTCCGAATCTTGGGCTTCATACCAAAGTCAGATTGTATCTGACATCGTTTCCAAGCACACCGCACTTCTCTTGCACCTCGCTGATCCAATTTGTTGTGCAGAGATGCAATGCATTGTCTAAAATATCCGATGATGAAATGGAATAAATGTATTCGTTTCATACCTAATCGACAAACCGTGGGCTTCTGTGCAGGTTGCCGTACTAAAATTATTCTATCTAAGTTTCGTCATACTCTCGACTTATCAGAAGCTCTTATCAAGCAAGTAGCCATGTATCTTGCGATAATTACGAGCTGGTCAGTTAAGCTTTTGCTTCTCGGAAGCTAAAAGAATACATATCATTGAAAGCCCACTTGTACCTGGCGTCCAACAAAAGGCTTAATGTATGTAAGACGGCAGAGCAACACGAATGACGATGATTGGTTTGTTGCCAGAGGGCATATCAGAGATATCAAAGATATGAAAGATAACACTATCGTGGGGGACTTATCTACTTATCTACCTACAGATATGATGTGAATGAAACCAACTATAAAGATGATGGACCCTGAGGATATCAAGACAGTGAAATGATCATCTCCGCGGCCAGGAACCGATTGAAGAATGCTAAGGTTAATAGGACTCACACACACAACTCTGAAATAATATTTCTCGAGGAACAATTATTGAATCTGCTATAACCTATTGTTGCCACCAATTTTGCATACCTAGATAGTCTGATGAACACATCTTCTCTAGTGTGCATGGTATGGTTACTGCCAAACGGGAACGGAAACTCGTACAAAAAACACCAGGCACTTATTTTTCAGCCGTACATCGAAATAGAAAAATCGTGACAGCGAGAAATTCCAGACGAAGTGACCGCGGAGAAGGAAGATACATATAACGTGGTTTATCAGTGGATCAACCATATCAGTGGATCAACCACTTTTACCTCGAATTATTATCCTAAAGCTATATTATTCAATAATGATTAAATTAATTAATTAAAATTATAAAGATTCTAATAATCTAGGATTTATTATATTATTTTGATAAATCCTTGTATTATACTTAATCTTTTCATATTTATTATAATACCAATTAAAAAATACTTTTTTATTAAAATTCCTCCCTTTTTGATGCTTATTGTGTTGAATTTGAATATTAATTTTTTGTTAAGATAATATATCTTTAGCCTTTTGTTTAATAAGTATTTCTTTATTATATAATTAAATCTTTTTAGTATATTAATATTTACTTAATATTTTATTTGTTTTTCAAAGTATATAATTCTTTATATTTAAAAGTATATTCTTATAAGCTAATTTCTTTATACCTTTAGTTAAAGTTAATATAGTTTTAAATATAAATATAGGAAAACTTAATTGATAATAAACTATTTGAGATTTTATTAGAATTGATTATGAAAAAGCTTCAATTGAATTATAAGATGTTTAAAAGATTTAAATATTTGAATTAATAAATAAAGAAATAAATATACAAATTCGAATATTTAATTTCGAGAATATAATTTGAGGATTAAATAATATTAAACCTACTCCTCAAAAATTAGTTTTTATATTTTGAGCTATAATTGATTATTGATATACAACTTTAAAAGCTATAAGGAATTTAATCTTAATAATATAATTGATATAAACTTTAATAAATCCATCAATTTGATAATCATATATCTATTTCAATATATTAAAATAATCAATATCAAATAATTAAATTAAATAACTTAAATGTGGTGGTAGCTTGATTATTATAATATTATTTGATTTATAATATAATTGAAAAGATATTGATTTATAATTTTTATATTCATTTAATACTAATATTTAATATTTGCCCTTTATTCAATGAATTGTATATTTATCAAAATGCTTTAATTATTTTAATCCTATTTCATTATTTATTCATTTATTAGAAGTAATTTTGATAGTCTAATCTATAGAAAAAACCGTTTTTTTATATATTAATTAGAAAAATAATATTGTTTTTGTATAATTAAGAATAATAATATAATTTCCCCCTCTTTATTATCATATATAATTGTTGTAGCCTATTCTTTATTATCTAATTGTATTATCTTGCTTTTGTTATTTTATTTAGTATTAGTTATTATTATTCTGGGATATATTATATTTATTATAAAGCTAGTTTTGTCAAAGTTATAGAAATCACAATCGAAAATATTATATTTTGCCCGTATATTCGAAATTAAATGAAATTAGTTTTTAATAAACTTGGGATTTTTGTAGAAAGTTTTTTGAAAATTATAAATGTGATTAAAATGTATTTCTAATTTTGTATAATATTTTACAAATCAATAAGCCCAGAGCTTTCTAATCTTTCTTACCCCTCACATTTCGAATATATAATTCGCTATATCTTCAATAATATTTAATTTAAATGAAAATCCTTTACTATCTATATTAAATATATATTAAATAAGTATCTCCTCTTCCAATTCAATTAAATTATAACTTTTTAATTGATTTTTAGTTATATTAGATTTACCTCGAATTCTATTATTCAATATAGATCAAAATATACCATAGAGTTGAGCTGTTTTTTGAATTATCAATTTTTTATTTGATTCAATAGTTTAAATAACTAAGATTATACATACTTCTTTAGAATAACTTTTTATATTTATTTATAAAGAAAACACATATCAAAAATAGAATAATAATTTGAGATAAAAGTGGCCGATTCACTGATATAGCCGACCCACTGATAAACTACGTTATATCACAAATGCAGAATCGACAATCTCCTCCATTTCTTTTTCACATCCGAACTCGAAATTTTCCCCCACAATCCTTATCTCCAAGGTGGGTCGATTCCCGTTCTCGGCTTCGCTAAGCCTCGTCAAAGATAAGAAGCGACGAGGCGACGACACGACTTCCTCATTCATGCTTTTCTCTACCCTCCAGCACCTTCAGAGCTGCCTCCAACCAGTCTTTGGTTGGTGATGACACCGATTTGATAAATTGTAGCAACCATCATTGGCTATCTTGAAACTAAGGTTTGCTTGAGCCAAATTTCTTTTAATGAATGTCCATACACATTCAAATCATGGGCGCGATAATTCATCTATGACGGTGCCTGTGATTACCCTCTATCAAGATAAACCCAGAGATAACCCCAGAGCACTATGATATATACTCGGGGAAGCAAATACAGGATGCTTGGGAGTAAGGATGCAAAGACGCCATCTATTTCACGGTATTGCTTTCTCGAGCATTACTTTCAGCTCCTGAGTTACATGGATACTGGAAAGAATTCACAATCCAAGTACAAGTTATTAAGAAGTGGTCAATATTGTACCTCAACATTCCACTGGTTACTCTCTCTCTCTCGTTTTCCCCTTATAGCATTGCATATTCAATCATATCAACCGTGTATAAACCCCAACAATGATCTCGACCCCGACCTCGCAAAAATAGATCTCCCACGCCAAACCATCCCGGAGATCTCTGGTATCCCAGCCTCGAGATACACATCTAGATAGTTTGACAGCCACCAGATATTGGCGCCCAAAACTTCCAAGCTGGAGTGCCCTATATTCGGTTCACCTACACTGCACCCGGCTTGCACCTTATCTATCAAGCACAGACGAGGCGTTCCGTACCCGCGCCAAACTTCTGGTCGACCTTCGATCTGCACAAGGGACTGATCCATGGCATTATTACCTCGCCCTATAGATTCAACCTAAGATTGCTCTGCCGGAGATGCTTCAACTACCAGTGGGCGAGCGTCACTTATCTATGATCTCAGGCTATATCATTTCATAATTTATATATGCGTTCAATTTCCTTATTCAGATGATCAGCAGTTCATAACAGTCTGTATTTACTCGAGTTGAGAATCCGAGAATCAGTCGTGTTCAGAAACACTCTAGACAGAGCGAGTCTCAATTGACAACTCTCATCTCATCTCAGTCACCATACCAGCTTTGCCATGTTCAAAATCCAAACACTCTGGCAAGCGCCAGAGATCAATCCAGTCAATGGGAAAGCTCGATCTATCCCCATCTTTAATCCTTTCAACAAATACGGCAGAGTGTTCTTCTTTTCTTGGTGGGGCTTTTTGATAGCCTTTTGGTCTTGGTTAGTCATCCAACTCCCTTTTGTTTATTAACATCACATCATGCTAACCCTTGTTTCAGGTATGCTTTTCCACCATTGGTATGACCTAGTTCTATCGTTTGTTGTTCTTCGCTTCCTGACCTGTTCTAGCTATCTCTCACAATCAAGAAAGATCTTCATCTCACTCAAAATGAGATTGCAAATTCCAACATTATTGCTCTTGTGGCGACGTATGTATAACAAACTTCATGTACAGTGTTTATGAATACTAACACTCATCCTACAGACTCCTCGTCCGATTAGTCGCAGGCCCATGTTGCGATCATTTCGGCCCCAAGGTTACATTCGCAGGATGCTTGCTACTCGGAGCCATTCCGACTGCTCTTGCCGGCACCGTGACGTCTGCAACCGGCCTTATGGTCCTTCGATTCTTCATTGGTATACTCGGCGGTTCTTTTGTTCCATGCCAAGTATGGTCCACTGGTTTTTTTGATAAGAACATTGTTGGTACCGCCAACTCCTTGACTGGAGGCTGGGGAAATTCGTAAGTAATTACCTTGATATACAGAACACCCCACTTGGCAACTATAGCATGCTAACATCTGCTCACACAGTGGAGGAGGAATAACTTATTTCGTCATGCCAGCCATTGTCGACTCTCTGATACTGAACCAAGGGCTCACTTCCCACGTCGCTTGGAGGATATCCTTCATCGTCCCCTTTATTCTCATAACCACGACGGCCATATCAATGCTCATCCTCTGCCCTGATACCCCAACTGGCAAATGGTCAGATAGGCACCTCGCCGTCCAACAAAATCTTCGAGCTCACGGCATCCACAGCCCCTCGGACAATATAGTATCCGTACCTGGCTCAATCACTGACCGCAAGCCTGATAACATCCATTCGCCCACCCATCCCGTCTCATCCTCAAACTCTACATTCGGCAATGAAAAACGTCTCGAAGAAGAAGCACAAATCGCATCCGCCAAGCATAGTACCGCAGAACCATACAACAACGAAGCTCCCCTCCCTCCCCAAGAAATGCTCACCATCGCTCGCGGCGAAGTAATCCAAAAACCCTCTTTCAAAGAAGCCCTCAACGTAATCCTCACCCCACAAACCCTCCTCGTCGCCTCCTGTTACTTCTGTTCCTTCGGCGCTGAGCTAGCCATCAACTCCATCCTCGGCTCCTACTATCTCAAAAACTTCCCCAAACTAGGCGAAGCCGGAACCGGTCGTTGGGCAGCCATGTTTGGTCTTCTCAACATTGTTTTCCGTCCCCTAGGCGGAATTCTCTCCGATCTCCTCTATCGCAAAACAGGAAACGTATGGACGAAGAAAATTTGGCTACACACTCTTGCCATTTTCACCGGCGCCTTTTTGATCGCCATCGGACTCACGGATTCACACAGTCACTCCACGATGTTTGGGCTCGTAGCAGGCATGGGACTTTTTCTTGAAGCAGGCAATGGGGCGAACTTTTCGCTCGTGCCCCATATTCATCCATTCGCCAATGGAATCATCAGTGGTGTCGTTGGCGCGTGTGGGAATTTGGGAGGAATCGTATTTGCGATTATTTTCCGCTACGAGGGAAAGGATTATGCGAAGTGTTTTTGGATTATTGGCGTCTTCACAATTGCGGTCAATGTAGCAGTGTCTTGGGTGAAACCTATTCCGAAGGGACAGGTTGGCGGGAGATGAGATGCGCTTGTTTTGTTGTCTTTTCTTTTGGACTACTCTTTTCCGTTTCTTGTGTTGTATGATATCTTTGAATCTTCGGCGGGAAAAGTATATACCCGTAGTTCTAGATTCTCTCATGAAGGGTTAGAACTGACGAGGATTTTTGACGGAGCAAAGATTCAAAATATAACAAGAAAAACATCAACTATGATAGCTTTCTTAATATGCAGCCAGCTCATCACCGTGATCTGCCTCCAAATTCGAATGTCGCTTAAAACAAAGATTGAAGTCAACATGCACATGTCTTTCCTTCTTCCCCTTCGCTATGTTTTCAAAGCAAAAAGCATTTCAAAATACGAAATAGATTTCATTCGCCCTACCATGCCCGGATTCGTCAATTTATCCGGTGTCTCCTAATATAATTGACGAAATAGCCATCCCTCCATGCAACCATGCATGCCTGTTCACATGATATACTCCGCGCAAAAAGTATCCGTCCTTCCCATCCTATAATTCCCTGCACTTTAGCTTTTGAAGTGGTGTCCCCCCAATACAAAAGAAAAGAGAAATGTATATAAAGTGTTCGCTTCTCCCGTATTAAATCGTATCAACATTCCCTATTGCCCCATAAAACCCCATGAAAAGACCTATCCTATCCCTATTTTCATACTCACCTGAGTTATTAAATGATACTCCTCGTAACCAGCGCACGCCTTCAAAGTCTACCATGCCTTGCTTTAAATATAGCAACCTTATCATCATAAAATAGAATTTCTCTTAACCTCAACCTCACCTTCCCCTTACCATCACAATCACTCGCTCCATCCCAGCTGTCCTCGTCGCTCTCGCCGTCGTCATGTTCATCACCATCCGATAGCTCATCCTCTGTCTCGTCTGGATCAATAGGAGCAATAGCCGTCCCATTATCGTCTTCCTCTTCATCCCCTTCATCGTCGTCATCATCCTCACTCCCATCGTCATCCTCCTCCTCATCATCGGTTACAGGTCCACCATTTGCAGCTGATGTGTGAAGATCATGCGAAGGAAGTAATGGTTCTTCGTGGGGGCGATTCTCCAGTATCTCGAAGCATTTATGCGATATGCCTACGTAGCAAAGTTCGACTTCTGGGCGGAGGAAAATTACGTCAAGAATTTGGTGAGCGAGTTCTTTGGGGTCGAATGCGGGTGTGATGTGGTCGGCGATGAAAGGGACACTGAGAGAGCGGAGATGGGGTACTTGAGGGAGGCGTTGAAGGAAGTGGTGCTAGCCATTATTAGATATTGCAATAAAGATGCAGCGATTTCATGTTGACGAGGTTCGGAATGTACGTCAAAGGGTTATCCTCGGAACACTTACCCAGTCTTTATAGTCAATTGCAATACTTAGCTCGCGGAGATTGCTCATACGGCCACTAGTGATGAAATTCAAGACATCGCGGTTGGGCATCCAGGCTTTCCATTTGGTGGATTCGACTGGACTATTCACATTCCTTGGGGGTCTTTCGGAGCTATCCAATAATAGCTTTTTAAGACTAGCACGATGTCTCTTGAGTGGCCCCCGATAGATGGATTCCTATGTTCGCGTCAGCACTCCACTAAATACTCACACATATATAGCTTACGATTGTGACCGTCGAGTTTGGTGCTCGTTTTCTGTCTTGCAAGAATAGTGTTTCTAAGGTGTTTGGCGCCAATGTTTCTTTCAGAAACGATATCAGAGAAGGAGATGCTGCATCAGTATGGATCTTTTTGAGATTTAGATGATACAGCATTTGTGTGCTGTGCTTTGTCGAGGTATTATTGCCTAATGGCGAAGGCGCGAAATGCTTTTTGAGTATGGACCAAAGCTTATCGTGATGTGGACAGTCGAGAATAGTTAAATTAGTCAGAACTGACCAATCGAAAGCTCTATGCAGTACATAAACAGATAAAGGAACTCTCTCCAGTTCCAATGTTTGCAGACGTAGTTTGCCCTCAAGTCTGTCTCTACCAACGGGGAAAATTTCCGAAAAATGTGCTTGTTTTCTATTCGACGATTGAGAACGTCGCAAAGGAGGTTCTGCAGGGATATCGGAAGGCACAGGTGGTTGTAGTGTGTCATTGACCGTAGTGTCATTATCCGATGTAAGTTGATGTTCGGATATCAACGCAGTAAGCGAATCCATATCAGAGTGAGGCGCTAATAGAGTGCTCGAAAGTAAATCTTCATGGCCAGGATCAAGATTGTCTGGAATAGACACTGCTTCAATATTGAATTCTACCCCCTGTGGATTCAGTGCCCCTGACGCTACTGGAATATCTTTATCGCTCCAGCTTGGCTCCGTATAATCATTCCCGGCAATTTCGGGGAGCACATTTTCTGCGGCGTCGATGCTACTTTGTTGGGGTTGCTCCTGGCTATTCGCCATAAAAGAGCCAAGTTTTGGACCCTTTGTCCTCTCACTTTTGATTCTTCGTTTGTTCCGGATATCGAAGATGCGACCCACGATGGTGCCTAGTACCCCACCCAATCTTCGCTCGCCAATCTTACTGGCGCCGGGCCACTTTGCCTCGTGATCAACCTGTTGGAGCTCAGGCCCGTCCCATGGAAGAGCAAAATCGCGGTGGGTGGCCTTCGCAGAGATGCCAACACGAAGTTCCCGAAGTTTATCCTTTGAACGCTCTATCAAAACACTCATCTCGTCTAGATAATCTAGTTCGTCAATGTCCAACACAGACAAGCTTTGTAATGGAGGGAGAACGCTAAGTGTAGGATACTCCACACGGCCTTGTGAATATGCCATGGTTTGTACGGGAGCCGAGGGAATTATTGAAGAACCGGATGGTAATAACCAGCCTATCGAGGTCATTGTCTTCCCAGCCAACATTTGATTCGTAGTAATGGATGGTGTGCTTGGGTTTTGTGTTGAAGACATGTGAATAGCTTCGGTATTATCATGCCACCTGACCCAAACACGTTCTAACCGACATTCTTGTTTTAGACTCTTATATTGTAAAGAGGATAGAGCAAGCCAAACGTCTCTCAACACCCCTGTTGGCATATCCCAAACAAACGTCTCTAGATTGATCATTCTAGCCACGGCCAACGCAACAAGCGTTCCTAACATCTTCCCACTTTCTTTAGTTATGAGGTATTCCTGTACCCAGTCGGTAGGTCCGTTTCCAAGGGAAAACTTTCTAGTAAACTGCGGATATTCATTACCGACACGCCTAGGGATGCTCGAGGACTCTGGTTTGGTTTCATGGCTGCAATCTACAGAATTGTCTGTTCCGCAATGCTTGCAAACAAAAGATTGTGTTGAATTTGGGTTCGTGAAGGCATTGCCCATGCAGAGAGTAGAAAGTCCATAAGTAAGCGCATCGACTCCGGTCCTCGGGTCAGATGTAGCATGTGCATCGGGCCAGACGATATCAAACCGCGAGTATATATAAGGTATTGCTAAATTATGCAGAGCAGAATGGGTGAGTGCAAGAGAAGTCAAGTCATTGGTATGAGTAACCTAGATGTTCCATCAGCTTTGAACGAGGTGGGTGAAAAGTGAATCAATAGTCTACCTCCTTCACAATTTCTTTGAGAACATCCATGGGCAGATCCAATAATCGAAGAGGGCCATTCCTTTTCTCCACTACAGCAGACCATTCTTGTTCTTTATCCTTTGGTAGTAGGTTGGCAATTTTAGTCCTCGCATCGACCATAGCCTCGTCAGCCTTTCCGGATGTTGTTGGTGTAGCCATTACACCACCGGAAGCAACGATATCAGGTAACAAGGAACTATCAAATGATTGTGCAGCGGCGGAAGTTTTAGGGCCAGAAGGGGAAATTTCATCGGATTGTGATACAATATCATCGAGTTGGGGATCAGGAGGAGGAACGTGGGCTGTCATCGCGTTGCAGTATTGAGAACTGAGTAGATGGGTTGTATATAGAATCGATCACGGTGATGGTAATAAGTAGTACTCTCCCCTCGTTTGAGCAAGCAGCATACTTGAGTGACATGTAAATTGATCATATAATGATTTGAGTCTCTGCGATCAAACCATTATCCTCCGTTGATAATTTCTGGCTCTGGGAGAAGGGGGCTGGAAGGAATTAACTGTTCAAGTAGATAGATAGTATTAGGTGGTTGAAGTTCGTATATCCATGGGCAGATGAATAGCGGTACAATGAATGAACCTTATGGAGTAAGTAGGTATGTGCTTGGGAGGCCAATGGATACAGCCAATTGCGGCATCGAGCACATGTGCCACTAATACGAATGCCTAATGAGTGAATTTTCAGGCACCACTATCTTCCTCCTTCCTCCTAGGAACTACTAGGTAATAACTCCAGCTACCTAGGTATGCACCTAGACAGGCAATATTAGCCACTGCACTGAGGTACGTACCTATATAAAGTTGTTTCGTGTTTATAACGGCAGAAGCATTCTCAAACTTCACTCTCTATTGATGTACCCAAGGACTTATATATAGGTAGGCCCGGTAGGTAGGTTTATGTACCCAGGTATTTATATATAGGTAGGCTCGGTAACTACCTAGGTACTCCATTCTGTTTGATAAACAATTGGGAGCATTGAACAGATGATAACGACAAGAAGCTTGAGATCCCCATACGCATAAGAAAGGGATAAGGATCCATCAGATAGATAGATAGACTACGGGGGAGGCATGGAAAAGATACGACAATACAAAGATACGAAGTTTCAGTAGTTATTTGTTTTTTTATTTAATATCAATCAATGTAGGGGGGAAATTGAATAACAAAACATCATCTGATTCTGCATCTTTTTCGACCCCCATCCCCCCATCCCCCCATCCCCCCATTTCCAATCCACGGTTTCTTTGATATATAATGATACCTACCTAGAAGGTACCTACCTACCTACCTACCTAGTACCTGCTTTCACTACTCTACTCTACTACAACAGAATAAATACATATCAATATTCAACATCACATTCAAATCCCGGGTTGGCACATGTGCACACACCACTTCCAAGAAACAAACGTGGAACTTGTACTTG